TAACCCTTGACTTTCTACATTGTTTGACCTGATCATGAGAGACGTAATGTTATCGCTCTATGTCGCGTGATCTCTCGAAGTATAAACTTTATGACAGGGTAATTTGCTTTTAAGGCATATGAAAGTGAAAACGCGAAGAAAACTGAGATATATACGTTAATGAATTTTACGAATAAATACTATTAGATTTTGTGTCATGCGGTTATTCTCATAATAATATTCCCAAGGGTAATAATGCTGAAAATATTTAAAAATAAATGGTATCACTAACCGTCTTGTAATTTTTATATAATAATTGCTTATGGCAAATGTGTATTTTCTTGAACATTTAAGAGATTTTGATCACTGAAATCATTATGTTAAAGCAAATTTTTGAACGTAATATTTATTGCGACAAAGTGTAAAGGATGAAATGAAGGAAACAAGTGAGGTGAGGTATTAGTTAATAAATCAGTAATTATATTTAATAAAACTATATCTGTACTATAATTATTATTACGAATTCTGTGGCAATGACAACTTTTACTACGCTCGAATTTTTATTAATTAAACGTGCGTTAATTTTTACGAATATACGAAGGTAATACGTATTGTGGTAAATTCGGATTTATAGAGATTGAACTTTTAACTTTGATTATATTTTATTTCATTTCTGTGGTACAAATGCGCAGAGGCTTTGAGTCTTCTGAAATACGTGATTCAGACGGTGGGTTGTCAAAAAGTGTCCCCTCGAACCCTTCAGCCTGGTTCTTATAGGCCCTATGACGACCCATTGCGTCACTCAGTCCTGCTTCGAAAATTGATAAGCTTGATGGTTCCTCGAGGCAAACATAGATCCAGATGCAGGGTGACGCCATCCAAACAAAGACTCCTTTCGCAGTATTGAACTCAAATTTATTCGAATGTTATTCCAAAAATCACGAGTGGCTGGTCGGTATAAAATGTTTTGGGGGCAAAAGAGAAGAAGTAGATACTAAATGTAAAACATTCGTTATTTTGGCACCTAATAGTTCGCGAGGTATTAGTAAAGAATTTATGGTACTATACGTAGAATTCTATTTATACAGGCGTTACTAATACGACTATTTTCTCTGTAATAATAACCGTCAGTGAATCACTCGATAACAATCACCATTTATTTTTGTTCCCTTGAAACAACCTAAAATACATTTTTTAACATCCATTCTTCACAGCCATTCATTAGACACATTCAGATATATATCCATCTGAAACCATGGGTAATTATGCATCCTCGTTCACACGACTATCTTAAGAACTCGGATCAAACACTTTTTTCTTCACACTTCCGACGTTTAACCCAAATATTTTTCGTTCATACTCATTTGGCCGAAGACTTTCTCACTCATACGACATAAATGTTATGGTTTCTGCACGCAATCATTGCTCTGTGTAGCAACACCCTGCAGCTACTTTGACGAAAGTCAACAATGTCGCAGCAGCAAACGCATCGTCTTCCACTCGGTAATTTCAGCGATAACGACGACAAAGTTAGCGATATTTATATAGCCAGCATCTTTCATGCCTAGGAGATTACACGTTCGCCTTTTTGCGACAGTTAATTTGTCAAAACTCGGACCGTTAAGAAAGAGATTGCACGTTGGTTAAATTGGAAATTGAATACGAGAGACGAAGGGAAACCGGGCGAAACGCGTCAAACGAATGTTATCTCGAGGAGCCTTTCCACGCTGCCGAGCGTACCGGATAAGCTTGATCATCTTCCTTTTCGCGAGGAAAGTTTCGGCGGCGTTGGCAAGATAAAATTCATAATTGCTTTAATTTTCCCGTCCGCCATTGTCGTTGCGATAGTCGTGGCTCGACGAGCCGAATTTTCCAGAAAGCATCACCGATCCTATCGTTCCTTCTACTCTCCTTCCTCTTTTATCTTTCGCCCTACTCGCTTTCGCGCCACTACCCCGAACAGGCTAATTTTAATTCACCCCTCGCGATCTCGAACCTCGCTTCATCGCGTGAAATGTGAGGGAAATTAGTCGTTTGTCTATCTTAATTTCATAGTTACGAATTAATAATTAGGTAAAAGTGTCTGTTAACACCTTCGTTACGCTTGTAACGAATAAGGTTCCCGATGAAACTGCCAAGTCTAGCTGTTAAGACCTTTGCATGCTTGCATATTTATGATACCTTTATATTTCATTATTCGTATCGACCTAGCCAAAGGTCGAGCATTGCTCATTTTCTACTTAGAATTTGTGACTTTTCCTAATCTAACATAATCTTTTTTTAGTAATCGTCACGTCATAAACCTATGTATATAAACAATATAAACTAGTTTACTTCCATCATATACTTCCTTTTCTCAGTCTCTAATGCCAGTGGTTGGTCGCCTAATGGTTCGTACCCTTTAGCTTACTTTGAGTTCGGGGTTATCAGCGTTGGTGAAGTGTCGAGGCTGATCTGATTGGCTAGCTAATATTCCATTTAACCTGAAAAAGAAACGCTATAAATACGCGATAAAAGGTAGACCAAGCAGATTACAAAATAAACAACAAAATAGCACGCGAGTTGGCAACATTGTGCGAACACCAAAATATCAATCAGATATTCTCAACTTGGAAGAAAGAAAGTATGTACCTATTCAGTTGAATTTAATTTAATTTTGTTTAGTCTTATGACAGTGATAATTTTATAACTAGCGTGTATCTAACAAATTTAAATCACAAATTAGGGTATACGATAGCTTTTGTTTAATTTAAATGACATTTTTTTTTTTATTTTACATGTCGGAGAGTAACGATATCGATACTATTATATTTATAGAAGCAATTTCAAACAAAATAATTTATATATTCAATTCGTGGAGGCGGTTCTTAGCGTAAGATTCGTGGAATACCCTAGCCCAGACGTTGCAACTGTGTCTGCTGATAAATATTAGGTCGAGATACGTAGCAGTAGCAGTATGGTATACTTGACTCATACAGTATTTTTCACGAAGTCTCTTGTATTGTAATCTATCGCAATCTTTGATCACTCTCACTGGATCATAATTCCTGCAAACTTTTATTGTATTTAAAAGTCGTATTACAATAATTTATATGAAGTTACAATTAAGTTTTAAGGAATACTTCAGTAAACATACGAGTTAAACACTATTATTGATTTTGATGATTTTTAAATATCTTTTGAAGGACTTTTTGAACAATTTTTTCTTTTTACAATGATAGACGATCAGTTTTAGTTTCCAAGGTATTCGCAAAAGGTTTGATAATGTACAACTGAATTTTTCGTATACTTAAGTATATTTACAAATTATCAAAATCGGTAATGGTGTCCCTAATTTACAGCTTCATCGGTATTCAAACACTTCTAGATTTATTGATAGCCTATTTTTACATTATTGTTCTTGCTAATGTTCCGTTGTATTTATTCTCGAATACGAGACAGATGCTGTTTACTGCTGTTTCTAATAAAGACGAGTCAATTAAGAGCGATCGGGATGTTATCGCGTACTCGGAAGTTGGTTGATCAACGTATTAATTGGCAATGCTTAATCATCAAGTACTTTAGAAGTAATCGGACTTTCAGCACTAGTAAGTTCGGAATGAATTAATCAATCATGGAAGTACTCAGGTTTCGAATCACCCTGATATTTCAGTCGGTTAATAGTTAGTCAGTTGGCGTGAGAGCAATTAAGCTTATATTTCATTCTCTATACGTATGTATGTATATTCTAGCGTACACTGTAATCGGTATTATTGGCTGCTTGTTGCTTGTTAAATACATAAGATATGCTGTGACGAATGATTAAATTTTTTATCGTGTATATTAGTTTGAATTTTTATATCGAAAATTTTATATTGAAAGAAATAAACGATTTATCTTTACTAATGTAAATTATAGAAATAGGAAGGTGTTACGTTGATTTTGAATTTATCGATAATTCTAATTTCTAAATGTCCATTTACAGTACGTATCTAACGAAGCAGAAATATTATGGGATTAACATTTTGAAATATTAAAGATAAATCTAATGTTAGTAATGAGTTTTTAAACTCTGATTTGAAATATATTTTTTCGATATATTTTTTTGTGTAGGTAGGACTATAAAAAATTGAATGTATAATGCGTATATTCTTATTCTATCGAATACACGTAATACTAATTTCAAATTGACAAATTCGACAGTAACAGTTCATATTAAAAACTTTTGTTATATTTATTCCTCACTTTTTCGTATAAAATTATTTCTTACAAATATCTATTAACGTATTTGGAAATTTAAACAAATTTTTAATTTTTTGAACCTTGGTATGCGATTTCGTGGAACAACTAAACAGTTAAGTTGAATCAGAGATTAAAAGCAATAGCAACTAATTAATTAATACAATGTAAATTAAGAGGAGAAAAATACTTTTCAAATTTCATTTTAACGTTATTGTTTGCGAAATAAATTCCTCCTTTTAATCGTCGGATTTACAACGGAACCCGTGTTACTTGGAAAATTGAAATAAGTTCAGGTCGAAACAAGTGTGTGGGATATTTCTTGTTAATATACGCCTTCGCCGCGGTGGTGATTACTTGCAATCAAGACTCGCCTGCTAAGTAGATTATAATTTCTCTTAACCTCCAGATTCGACGATTTAGATAGCGCGAATGGGAATGGAACGTAAAACTTTGAAACACGCGAAAGAGTTAATACCATATGAAACGTGTATAGCGCGCCGAGTATGATGTACCGTCTCATTCGTTGATACCGACTATTTTACGAGTACTATATTACATCGAACGCGATAATTACGAGAATAATCAAATCGTACGCGTAGAAGCACACACGACGTATTTATATCTCGCTAAATATAACAAAATGAAATAAAAATTCTTAAGTTGAAACAAAATTAAACCCGCTCTTACGATGCCCATTTTTTCCCTTGAATAATCTTTCCTTTAATTAACCCTGTCACGTGCACGTATTCATTTGAATAAAAGTGAGGTCTGACACGGGAACGTATGCGCTTGGATTTCAGGTGGCTTCACCTGCTATTTAACCTGGGAGTACAGGTGGTCGTGGGACTTCCTCTGGAAATGGTTCACGGAAGTCTGAGGATCGCGGCGGTTTACATGGCTGGAGTTCTTGCCGGTAAGTAATCACTATGCATTACAAATTTCGAAATTTTGTTTACACGGCTAACGTAATTTCCCGGTTTAATCCAGAGAGCAGCACCCCTGAACAACACGGCGCGATATCGTAGAGATTAGAAACACTTATAAACAAAATAACCGGTTATGCAACACGTTCGGTGGATTTCATAGTTCCTCACTCGCTTCGCATTTAGGTATAGCTGTCGCGTCCACGATTATCTATGGACCGTGCAGAAATTCGCGCGTTCGATGATACGTACTCGAGATATATTTATCCCGTTAATTTTCGTCGGCTGTCGTGACGACATATATTTTTCCTATTTCGAACTGCAGAGAATCGCGAGGATTAATGCATAAATAATCGCGTAATTACGCTGCGTGTCATTTGAGCGTGTACGCGTAGGAAATAAGGACGGGGAGGGAATAACAGAGCGGCTGGTGGAATGAAAGAAAACAGAGTGATAGAGAGCAAATGGCGGGGCGGTATAAAAGGAAGGAAACGGCGGGAGCGTTATCCGTTGTCAACAAAATGCGATTAAGCGAAAGCTCGGTCCAAGTGCATTTAACGCGATCGTTCGCAAGTGTTCGCAGCCGTTCGCGAGCCAGGCTTGTCGATAGTTGCACGCGTGATTATGCGCTTGCATGTAATGCAGTAATGCTACGAATGCTCGCAACGATATTCCTGAATTTAAATCACTCGGCGATTCTCACCCACATAAATGCTCGGCAGCGCAGCTGCAACTGCCAGGCCGCGACTCTATTTCTTCTCTGTAACACAATTTGTCCCTCTTTCCATTTGCCGTGTTTCGGGATTTTCCAGCATGGAACGTGTTTTTACTCTCCCCATCTCGCCCTCTCTCCCTCTGCCTCCCTTTCCAGCATGTTGTCGCTATCTCCCATTCGCCACTCCTCTTCCTCTCTCTCTCTTTCCATTATTTCGCGTTCGTCCCTGTCGCGTAAACCGTGAAACGAGGGCCGGGAGAGGAGAGAGCGAGAGAAAGAGAGGATGGAAGGCACGCGCGTCTCTTGTATTCGTGTATTCGTGTATATCCGTAGGAACGCGTGTACGACTGGTACACGTATCAGGACGAAGAGAGCGAGCCGGGGCGCACATTCGTGTAAACCTAATTGCCATTTGCATAAATTCGATTAGACTCAGATCCCGGGTTATTAGCAGTCATGAAAGTAAAACGTTGCAAAATAGGGCGCATGAATAATAAACTCCCGGAGGGAGATTCGGGATACATCGGACACCGTAAATGCGGAGGATCGTAACGTTGCGTCTGGCATGGCGGTGGGCGGAGGACGATACCAAACGTGGTCGGAAATCACGAGGGAGAAATGGACAGAAAGAACGGGGAGGATGTGCGGGAGAATGGATTCTGAGCGATCGTGAAAACGGAAGAATAATTGGATGAAGGATCGTGCGAAGGAATTAGAGACCTTTTCGTCTCCCCTGGCTCTGGCCTCTCTCGTTACACCAGCTCATAATCGAGTTCAATTAAGACGCAGAGTTTATCCCGGGTACGAACAATTGAAACGAGTTGTTCGTGTTTCGGACATTACTTAACGATCAAAGACCAGGAACGAAATTGGTACGAGCAAGCAGGAACAAAGTAGAAAGTAAGAAATAATTTCATAGCGAGTCTAATGTGTGCTTTATGGGTCAGAAATTAAGAAAGTAATTCTAGAAAGCGAAGGTAATAGTAAAAGCGTAAAAGTAGCGTATATAATAATTATGTGGAGGACGGTAAGTGAATTGAAACAGTTGAAACATAAAGTAGCATTGTCTTCTTGATTTATTTCTATATCGGTTATTAAAGTACGGTTGTACAATTTTTGTTAAACTTACGCTGGTAATGGAATATGGGCACTTGTTTGGCTTTAAAATAATCTAATCAATAATCAAATAATTAATCAAATAAATAAAATAATCAATCAATAACAGCGAATCAATGGAAACAATGATAATATACAGTAGCATTTCGTCTTGTCCCGTTTCAATTTTTGTTATACGATAATAAGATTTAAGCCAGCCTATACAATATGAAAAGGAACATTATGAATAATGGGTTAGCTTTGACAGGATATAATTTGAGAATTAATTAGAACAATTGAAGTTCACAGTAGTATTGTCCTCTTGTTTTACTTCTATGTTTGTTTCCTTTGTGGCCATTACAGTTACCTACAATACAATATTACGATGCGATATAATTAATTTTCAAAGGCTAATACACGATAATAAAATTAGTATTTTTAATTATCAAATATTACGAAATTGTTTTATTTGAGAAATTTCTTTATCTTCGAACGATGTTTAATTTCTAAACCTCGTGTCGAATAAAAGAAGTTCTTTTTTCTTGTCTCTATTTTACGTCGCATCGACATCGAGGTCATTAGGGACGATTCAGTGCTGGAACTTTATACTTGTCGGTATATCCTTATTTCTTTAAGAAAGTCTATTGTAGCTCTTACGTGATCCTCCGACGTTAGGGCTGTGTCGGGCTTAATACCGTGTTTTCGTCTGATTGGCTCGGTTTCTTTAGAAGTTCTTTTATACACCGATAGAGTGGCAATATTAATTTGAGCAATAATACATAAAGCACGTATTTAATTACTGGTTTTTAATAGGTAACTCGAATATATAGTTTGCAGACTCTATAAAGCGATAATAAATATCGTTTTAGTTATTAATTTATCGTTACTTTTTATATTTCGGTGAAATTTACAGTTACTACACAAATCGATCGATGTGCCCAAATTCTTATGGCACTGTAATTTTATCTCTGTCTTGCGTAAAAATATATTTTCGATTATATTTAACGATTGAATAAAAAATAAGATATTACAAGGAGGCTGTATAATTCATTTCATTAGAAAAGAAATAAAATAATTGATTGCACGATACGGTTACGACAAGAATTATGAAGTTCTAGCAATATTTAAATTTATTCTTTCTCATAATTTATCGGAGAAGATATTTTTAGGTATTTGCAATTATTAGCTCACTTGCCACAAACGACTTATAAATATACAAGACATTTCCAAGAATGATAATAATCCGATGATAATTAACTTACGTTATAAAATAAACTTCATAAACGTGCGAGAGAATGGAAATTTAATAAATTTCGATCTTGTTTTAAGGAACATCATTTTTAGCACTCGTCCTTATTTCGTGTTTCCAGGATCATCCAATTTTCCGCGTCTCGATTTACCTCGAATCGTTGAGAATAGAAGAAATCGAATTTGTCGTGAGACATGCGTCGTAGTTATCGAAATTTTAACTCTACTCCGATGCAGCTACGTTTAATCATCGACGGCGTGAAGGCTGCCTCGGAATATAGAATCGCGTAATGGGAATAAAGCGGCTCCTTTCCACGGCCGTCTTTTTCCGGAAGGTTCTCCGCCCGCAGTCGCCCCCTACTGGCTTCCTCTCGAGGCTTCGCAGCTCTCCGCGAGAACCGGAGGTGGCGACAGCTTGTCTGGGCTCACCGCGACAAGATTACTTCGTATGCATCGCGGTCGCGCCGATGTAATGCGATTGTAACTAAGCAAGTGCAACGCCACCTATCTCTTTTCCTCTCGTTTTCTTCCTTTCGCCTTGCTCTTTTTCCTATCCAATCGCTCTATGCCACTCTTTATTATTCCCGTCGCATGCTCGTGCCTTCGGTTTTCCACGCTGTTTATTTTAGTTTACCGCTTCGACGATAGATGTCAAGTTTATCGCGTTTATTAAATGTTTCGTACAAACACGCAACGGGCAGAAACGGAATAAATTGCGATTCCGAGTATTCGTGTTTAATATCCGATAGAAACTTTACAAAATTGTAGCTTTTTGGTGAATCGTGAGGCAATTCGTCGTGAAAATCTGTCAAGTGCACGTGCACTTGACTGAGAATTGATTCTCTATTAACCTATAAACGTAATAGGATCATGTCAGGCTTACAGCAGTTTGACAATTTCGTGATTATCTTCGCTATGACTTTAAGTAACATAAAGTATATACACCTTGCGTATATTATGTAGCTAGTATCTGTTAGGGTTTTCCGAGTATTTTATTTCCGGAAAGAAACTTTATAAATAACCGTGTATGTTTATTATAAAACGAAATTTAATCGAGTAAATTATCGATCTATAATATATAACGAAATATACTATACGTAAATGATAATAATTGATATATATATACACACACACATAAACGTGACGTGAGCTAAAAACATAACACGTTCTTAGCTCAATAACAATCAATATTAATTTCATGAAAAACAGTTACATATTTACGGTAATTACAAAATAAAGATATTCGAAGCTAATCATTCTGACGTTGAATAATTTGACAATTTTCAGAAACTTTTGAAATATAGGTCTTGTAAAAAAATATTTTTCCAAATAAACGTCATGATAACGATAAAACTCACTTCTTGTCGAGATATTATAACAATCATTGACACGAATATATCATTCTTTGTGATTTACAAACGATTATAGCTCTTCAATTTCAGCGTTTTTAAGTCAGGTTACACATTTCGTATTATTTCGATATTATCATTATAAGCTTTCTTTTATACAGTAATTAACGTAACAAGTGTATCAACGTTAAATCCTCTGCAAACTTATCTGTGTCCTAATCTTATACAGTGCACGATATTTTGGAATAATTTTGTAAATGTAGTAAAAATCGATATTCATTACCGTTTCAGTTCATAAAAATAAGTAAAAGATTTTCCTATTCTGAGAAACAACATCTCGATGATGCGGTTCTCTTGTACTGTGATTTCGTTGCACCCATTTTTCCTTGAATATGTGAAATTTATAGAAAAAGATGTCAACTACCGTTGATCTTTTCCTGTATTATCAAGAGATAAATTATATGGGTACATATATATGTAACATTTGCTTATATGCTTTCCATTAGTCTAAAAAAAAAAAGAAAAAAGTGCTGAAAATTGTATGGCGTTCTACGATGCATTTTAGCACGCACTATATAATTGA